AATATTTCAGCACATATAATAATATTAATATTTGATAGAATGTACGAAAAAGTTGTTGTTTAATATTTTTATATATATATATATATATATATATACACATATGTTTCTTTTATTTTACTATTTTGTGTATACCTCGTATATATGTATCTATATATATATATATTTGTTTTTTTTTTTATGTATTATCAGTGGAGATTACATTTACTGAGTTTCTTTTCTATCATACAAACGACATGATATGTATGACCGCAAGGAAAAATTGCTATACCATTGTTATCTAAAAGAACTGATGTTTGGAGAGAAAGGGTGCAACATGGACACGTCAATGACTTATTCTTAGATTTATATCGCATTCCCCAATGATGAGCACCAGTACTTAATATATTTTTATTATCGATTCGTGCTATATCTTTTTTTAATACCTCTATTAATTGATCTTTAATCTGTAAAATAATATATTATATACTATTATTATATACATATTTTATATGAAATAATGAAAGTTTAATTACCTTTGTGGAACACATTGTATTGTATCCATGTACATCAGAATTGCACTTGTTAAAATTTACTGCCAATTGCAAGCCATGATGATGTAAAATTTTCGTAAATATTAAAGACTGAAATATACTGTAGGAAAGAGAAGGAAGATGAAAAAAATAGATTTATAAATAATAATTTTTTTTTTATATGAAAAATAATAATATTAATATTAAAATAATGATATTGAGAATAACATCGCCGCATACCTTTTGTCAAACGTTTGGAAAGGAATTAATGTTTCTAATTTTTTTAAAAACACCATAGCTGTATCCGGACCGTCCTTCTTCATAACTTCTAATATTATTCCGTTCCAATTGATAGATGAAATGTTAGTTTTTAACGTTATTAATTGTTCGCAAGAGAGACACTTTTTGTCGTTCATTATTTTGAGATACTTTGTAATCAATTTCCATTGGTTTGCATCCAACATAGGTAAAATAATTGACAATGTAACGATGTCTCCAGTTAAAAGGCATTGATTTAATATATCTTCTATGGCATATTGTTGTTTCATGTATAAAGTTATATATTCTCTCCACATATAAGGTACTCTGTTACATAAATATATACATTTGTCTGTACTTTTATTTACAAATTTGTCTAAAAGAGCTTTGCCAATTTCTAAAAAGCTAGGCTCTTTTATTTGACGATCCGTTGGTAATGGAAAACCGCATGTACATTCATTATAATTAGATATATTTATAAGAACGAAAGCACCCATAAAATGATCTGTAATGATGGCATTCATTGTAGTACGTAATAACTCTATCGATACATTTGTTAAAAATGTTTTGGTACAATTAATTTTGGCATTTTGTATTATATCATATGCCAAATCTTTATAGTGAGGTATAGTTTTTTGTAAACGTTCTATATTGTTCATTTCCTTGCGTATGTCAAGAATAAACTTTTCAAACTCTTTCTCAGTTGTTGAGGTTTTTATGCTGCTAGATAATATACATACAGCTTCAATATCATTTTGTATCTTTCTAATTAAATCTTCATTTAACGACAAGTCGGAGTTTATTTCTAATATATTTTTAATTTTCGATGATGTATTTTGTACAGAGGATATTTGAGTAATAGATTCAGAAGACGATGATATTTGTTGATGCGTTGTTAATTTATTTTGTTGATCTTCGGTAAATTTTGTTTTCAAGTTTCCTGAGTTGACTACAACAATGCCAGATTCTAATTTGATAGGATTAAGATTTAAATTTGATTTCAATATAGAAATTAATGGTTGCAATAATACTGATATTTCATCATTCTCTAATTTTTGTCTTTGATTCGTTTCAATATTGTAGATGTCACCTATATTTTGATCGTTAATTAATTTCAATAGTTGAGATTTGTATGTAATACATGTTTCTAGGCAATCATAATACTGGTTAGTATAATACAAGTGCAATATTAATTCATCAAGCGTATAAAGTGTTAAACAATGGAACTCATTATCGGAGATCATCAAATAGATTTTATTGTCTATGACATCTACCATAGTTATATTTGTAAATTCATTATTCCATAGTACTATATTTGGATTCACAGGATCAAGAATATATAAGCCATTAAACGTATAAGAAAACAAATACTTAGAAGCGATAACAAATAATTGAGGAAAATTAATTGATTGTGAAGTCCATGTTTGATTAATATTCTTTTTTTGTTCCAATTCTTCCTTTATTATTCTATGAATTTTCATCGGTGGTACGGCTAATAATTCTTTGAATTGATGAGTTTTTAATACCACACCATTAGCAGATATTTCCCAAAATCTTGAACTAGGTCGGGCGCAAAAAATTTTCATTGAAGTTAATTCTGACATTTCGCTATTACCTTCTGATATGAGACTGAACGAGCTTTTCTTTCTACCAAGATCTTGTCCTTTTTTAACAGTCGAAGTTTTAACATTTTGTTCAACTGACATTTTATAAAAGCATGCACCAAATTCTCCATTTCTTCCTTTATTACCTATTTGTTTATATTGTTCATGGACTGTATCACATATGTAGCAACGTGTTAAAGTTGATATTAATAAAAGAGAGGAAGAAAAATTTAACTGTACAATACTAGAATCTAAATTCATTAATATATGGGATGGTGATTGAAACATTCCATTAACCTGAAACAATCCAAATAAACTATATCTTATAAACGAATGAACTCAAATTCTGTAATATTACAAATAAATTACGTGCTTGATTACAAGTATAAATATTTTTGTAAATCATCAATTATAGATAAATAAAAGGCTTACCGTGAAAACAGATAATATGATAACAGAAACTTTGCCCGTACCATCACCAACATATATTTCTGAACTATTATCGTTCCAACAGAGGCATGTAATCTTTTCATAAGCATGTTCGTTAGATGTTGCAACTAATTTAATAGTCGGCTTTAAAGTAACTAAACACACGATTCCACGTGTAGTGGCTAATGCTATGATTTTTTCATCAGGTGATATAGAAACAAGAGAAACAATACCTTCCTAAAAATAAGACAATAAATAATATTAAACGTATGACATTATATACAATCAGATTAATAGATTTCAAATATTATTAATATAAAGGGCTACCGATAAAGGTATTAATTGTTGAAAGGCACATGGTTCTCGGTTAAAAAGGTAAATGCTTCCACTGGTTGATCCAAGTATAATATAATTTTGTGAAACATTAAGGCATGTGTACTGTAAAATATATAAATATTTTTCAAATGATAAAACTAAATATATTAAAGAAAGATAAACCTAACCTTTAACATATAAATAAGAAAGGTCAATTATTATTAACAAAAAAAGTGATCATACAAAGAATATTTTTATTAATCTAATATTATTACATATACATTGAAATATATTACTACAAACAATAGTTTTACCTTAATTCTTTGTGTCGAATTTATAGGCTTGTGTAACACTTGATTTATTTCTTCGCATTCTGACAATATATGAGAAAATTCCTGCATAATCTAAGCAATGTTTTTTATTTAATAATATTAATTTTTCTAATGTAATAGATGTTAATTAGAAAAAAAAAACAAAAAGCTCTTTAATCTAGGAACACAATATCACTTTTATCTGTGTATGATGTATATTAAACGTCATTGGTTTAAACTCATATATATATATATATACATAAATGTATATACTCCATGTATAGAAATATATATATATAAACTTTATTTATTTTATTT